GTTGTGTTTGTGTGATCATAGTGCAGTTGGATCTATCTTTGCTAGGAAAGCCCCAGAGATTTCACGGACGTCGCGAACCCAAGACCTGGGTTCGTCACGAACCTGCGAGCTGGGTTCCTTGTGAACCCAGGTTCTTGGGTTTGCCTGGAGGTAAAAGAAAAAAAAGAAAAAAAAAAGGCTGGAGGAAGGAGAAGCCGGGGAAGAAGATGAGGGTATATCTGTAATTAAAAGTAAAAAATTTAACATGTCATCCATTTTTGCCATGTGGATTTTCCATGTAATTTAATAAAAAAAATGAGTGTTTCCGTTAATTAACCTGCCACATCAATTAAAATTTAACAGAATGATTAAAAAGGGGCTGGATTTGTGAATAGTAAGGACCAAAAATGGGATTTTTTCGGTACAGAAACCAAAAAAAGAGCTTTTTTCTATAGTAGAGGGACCAAAAAGGGTATTTAACCAAGAAATTGAAGAAATGGATGTGGATAACGAAATTAAGCCAACCAAGTTACAAGTGGCAGCTCATCAGCTTATAAAGTCAATTTAAAAACAATTTAAAAATGAAGAATATCCTAATTAGAGTGAAGAGTCTTTACTAATACAGTCATGCGCATTTGAAAAAAAATTAGATATTTTCATATATATCTCAAAGAGAATATAAATTAATCTTCAAGATAGAAAATCTATATGGTATACCTGTATGTCACCGAAGAAATTGTAGAAAATGGATACCGATAACCAAGTAAGCTAGCCCAAGAGAATTAGAAGTAGTAGCAAATCAATTCAATTGCAAGGCTAATTATGTGAGATGATAAAAAGTGAGCCGGCTAAGCAGAAGAGGAGTGAACTTGTCCAAATTATAGCTGAAAATTTCTTGGAAGGTGCTTGGCAAATGCCAATGAAATGAATCTGCAAAAAAATATCCAATGAAGTGACAATAAGAAAACGCAAAATTAGTTTATTATTATAAAGTAATCAATAATTATGCAACTGCTTTGTGTTATAACATATAATAAAAAGATTTGGATATGGAAGGTAAAAGATAAATGATAACATATAATCATGTCATGTTGAATTTGGTTAATTTATTTCATCTAAAATATAGAAAAATTAATTTCATTCAATTTAAAAGTATAAAAACAGATTTACTTTAAAATATAT